AGTTCCTGTTCAATGGTTTTTTTACCCTTCTCGACAATAGCGCGCTGAGCCTTCTCCTCAGCCAGAGCGGCCTTCAGCTGGGATATCTCACGATCCGCATCAGCCTTCTTGATAAGAACCGCCTGCTCAATGTCGTGTCGATACTTCTCGTTTTCCGACTCCAAGGACTTGATTCGATTCTGGGCCTGTTCCAATTCCTGGCGGGTGGCAACTAGATTGTCGTCGAGTGTAGTTTGATTATTGATCGCCTGTATCAATTTCACACTCAAAGCAGCAACCTCACTGCTCAAATCCGGATGATGGGATGGCGTGGAGGATGTGTCGGATGCGTCGGAGTTATTCGCGAGTCTCGGGTCTCTCAAAGTACTGAAACCACTATCAGGAAAATTCCCAGCACTATTCGAGCGAACTGCAAGAGAAGGCTTCTCGGTCGCAATCGCTGCGAGATCGTTTGTGGACTTGGTCTTTGTCACCGTTCTATCGGGAGAGAGTGTCCTATGGCCGGAGGAGAGGGATCGCTTGTGATTGCTGGGACGGGGAATCATATTGGAAGGTGAAAGGAAGCTATGCCGTAAATGATAGGTTTGGAATGCAATTAAACTGCTCACGAAGTCAGTAATGTCATCAATCACCATCATCAATGCTACGGGAAACAATGGCTACATACTCAGCCATGGCGGACTGGAAACAGCGGCAACGAATTCAGAGAACAGGAGAGGCGCGGTGACCCAGTCCAGGTGTCACGACCATGAATACAGGTGATACACCTCGCCCATCCAGAATTCCCACAAGTGAACAGTTGTTCAAATAAGGTCGAGACCGATGCGCAGACTATGCAGTGGCTAGCGATCGCAGATATGGGGCATCAAGAGATCAAACTGATGTCGACGAAGGAATTGTGAGAAGAGGTCGGATGTAACGGAGACGATGGATAGAATGAGAGTATATAGAGGCAACAGAATTACAATGAAGGGAGGGTGATATATTGAAAGCAGCAAATAATTAGTTGAAGGGAGTGGTAGTCGGAGTAACCCCTCTTTTCTGAGGAGAAGAAGCGGTTGGGACTTAGGAGGCGTTTGAAGGAGCAGGAGATAAGGTACGTAGGTAACGGACTTGACTTGGCCTTGTCCTTCAGGCCTATTATTGACAGGACTGGCTGAGACTGGCCTGAGCAAACGGATCGACTCGCTGAGTCATCCACCTCAAGCCGATCTTGATCCACCTACGTCGTTCGACTCTGATTCTCCGTCAAGAGATTGATTCTTTTAACACTCAGTCCCTTCCATGGCTGGCGCTTAACGGCATCATTCGCTAAATTGCTATTTTTGTACCTACTTTGCAATACTTGTGGATTCCCGAGATGAGAATTGGTCTTCTTTTGTACCGTAACAGTGTTTTTCCAGCCTCGTCTATACATGAGAGACCTGAGTACCTTCCTCGACTCGTTAATATCATTAGGAACAATCGTTATGCGTGTCTGGTTAAAGCTTCATTTTCTAGATTAAATATCTTCTGAGCAATGTCTACCTACCCATCAGAATGAATTACCATCACATCTGATGAGGCCTCATGAGGTGTTAAATTGGCAACTGATGACGACACTACACATCACGCCCACAGAGGGGTGGATCGCTAAGTTCTAACCCGCTATCGACGTCTGAGACATGCCAGATATCCTCGAAATTCCATTGTAGTCCAAGATAGGTAGTTTCAATTATGTCGATCTTAGGCAACGAAGTAGTTACCTGTATAGCTGCTCAACCAGGCGAGCAGAACAGGCCATGCTGAATGCAAGACAGCGGTATACCTAGGTACACAGGGTGACCTTCTTTATATATTGAGTCTGGGATACATGAATGGCCCTGCAAATCACGAACCATTACTTCATTAGATAAGGTACGGATCCTAAGTGGGAATGTCGATGCCTCATGGCGCCCCACCCCCATTATGGCGGCCTCAGGCGACGAAGTGGGGTTCAAAACTTCAGTATGAACGGTCAGAATAGGTACATTTGGAGATTCCAGCACCGAAATTACCTTAGCCTCAGCCACCTGAATTTCTTCTCAAAAAGAGGGGATTCTTTTTGCACCACAAAAGATCCCTCGATATTAACCCTTTGCCTCGCGAAAATAAATCACCATGGCTGACGCGGAGCTGGAAGAGGTTGGTACAGCGGCCTTGAGACGTCTCCGAAACGTCCTCAAACTGCCCTGGTATTGTGATCCGGTATCTAACATATTTTACAGATCAGACGGGCCCGTCTCGCACAGCTCCAGCAACAACAAGGTGGCTCTCGAGGAGCTGGTGGAGAGAGTCAGGATGAACAAAGAAGGTAGGCGTCGCCAGTTGACCACTTCTCCAGCCCATGTAGCCTTCTTTGTTTCAGTTGCCAAATGCACACATGATTGCTAACTCTTTCCCCTGCAGACAAGCTGAAGGTATGCAATGATGACCTCGCGAGACACCGGACTCTTTGTCCAGCCTATACTCAACTGACTCGCCAGCCGAACGTCGCTCCGCCATCCTGAACCAAATCCTTGAGCCCGAAGCTGCCGATCGACTAGGACGAATCCGTCTCGTTAAAGAATCGCGCGCCATCGATGTTGAGAACAGGCTCATCATGCTTGCCCAGACAGGACAAATCCGCCAGAAGGTCACCGAAGAACAACTCAAAGAATTACTGAACGCCATTGCGGAAAATCAGCGGAAGGACGAGGAGGAACATAAGATCGTCATCTCTCGGCGTAAAGGCGGCTGGGACGACGATGATGACTTGCTGGATTTATGAGCACATCTCCTGGAAAAGAGAACAAGATTCCACGGCGAAAATGTGCTTTTGCATGATAGCGGCCTCTTGCAGATAAAGCCTATTTTGATACCTCTACATCCTCTGGTTATGGGGAAAAAATTCAAGGCGTTACAACTGGTACAGGCTAATCCGTGATTCGACACTTGGCTCATGTTTCTCTAAATGCTTCTTGATGCAAGCTAACACGGCAATAGCATGCAAGCTATGTATTCTACAACTTGGAACAATTTCCTGTTTTTCCAGTCATCGACCCCGGCTTGAACTAAGCATGTCAGTCGCTGATGAGTGGTGTTAATTTATGATTTCATGTTTTACCAAGATGAATACCCGACTGTGAGATTATTGGACAAATGATCCAGTCGACGGAGACATCCCCGGCAGAGCGAACTGTCCCTGGCTTTAGCTCTTTGTGCAGTCAATGTTGACTCCAGTCGCCTGATGTAGGTTGTGGCCTTGAAAACAAATGCCCCCACCATCTCAGGGCTATCTCTCTGCCTTTCTTCTTGAATTCTTCGATAATACGGAAGTCAGAATTTGTGGAAACTCCTGGAGGACGAGCTCTGTTGATCAGTCACGATTTTCCTTCCAGCCTCTCCTTCTCCCGCTTTTGCTGTTGCCGCATCAATTTCCGGATTTCTCGTAGATCCGGAGGCCTTTCAATTCCCAGCTCTTGCCGGAGTTCGTCAACATCCTTTTCCAAGATCTCCTCCCAGTATACATTGATCAGTTCTTTACTGGCAAGCCCACTGCGAACCGCCCATGGTAGATGTAGCGAGAAGAATCGCTCCCGCTCTGCGGGCTTCAACCGCACGAAGGCAAAAATGCTCAGCCCCGTCATGGGAATGAGTGTATTCAGAAACTCGAACGCCTTGAGTGCCAATTCTCCCTCGACAAAAATAGGGAGTCCAGTCACCGCGTGGTAGAAGTCGTGACACTCCCGATACCGTTGCATGACATATGCGCATTCCTCGTCATCAATATACTTGACACTATTGCGCGTGTCGGGAGAGACGCCTTCGCGATCAAGCCATGTAGCATAGGTACGCCCCACTGAGTTTTCGGGCAAGCCGCGGAGGTAAGGCAGATTCAGAGTTTCGGAGGTGATGCGGGGACGGTCACGAAGGATACGTCGGCCCGTGGGATCAGATAGCATTGCATCTCGGAGTCTATATATAAAGTAGGGAGTTGCAGTGGCTTCGCCCAAAGCCGCAATGAGATCTGAACGAGGACGCTGTATTAGCTTGGCCTGTCATCATAGCGAAATCATTGGTTATTAATTCCCATATGGCGAGCAAAACCGCTTACCCGCTCTTCGAGGGTTCATGAGCGACCCTACTGCAGAACCAACGGCCAGGGCACCTCGTTCAAGAAAAGTTAAAGGAACATGACCGGGATACTTGGGCGGAGGCCGGTTCAAGGCGGAGAAGGACCGAACGAGATAGCTTGCAGTTGCTGACTCTGCTTGAGTCATTCCTCGAGCAGCAAGTCCTGCTCCGCGCCTCCCGAGGAGAGACATATTGTGAGTTGAAGAGGGTCCGATGTCGTTGTGGACATGACACTGTTTTAAGTTGAAACCAAAGATGGTCTGATGCTCCGGGAACTTCTGATGTTGCGGAAGAGCTCCGGCTGGCACAATTGGTGGCCGTGGGACGCCGTAGCCCCGATAAGCATCCGATAAGAGATTATCGGCACTGAATTTATCTTGCGGCTTTATGCCTTTATTATGCGAGGTTTGATCATTTGTTCTTGTTAGTCTACGAGTCCAGATGGCCATGATGAGAGTTTATGATGCGCGGGTCACCTTATGATATGAATCTTGTGCCCGGATATCTGGCTATGTATTAAAAGCCATCATCGACAGGACAGAATTGCAGCAAATCCAAGCCAGTCCCGATCTATCCCTCCTCTTCGACGGTATTGAACCTAGTTAAGTCCTAGAGGGCGTCTGGTTCAACCTGAAAAGATGATGCCAGACTGGTGGCCTGGAGAAACGCATGACCGTTTCACGGAATGGGCTATCTCTCAAGGAGTCATTGTGAATGGAGTTGCTCCTGCGCGCTTTCCAGGCCGTGGTTTAGGAATGATATCCACACGATCTATTGAAGTATGTCATGATCAGATAGTGACTTGACAACTATACTCACAGTCTATGAAGAAAGGCGAAGTCATTCTCACGGTGCCACTGAAAGCAATGTTGACAACGAGACGCATTCCCATTTCTTTCAAGCGAAGATTCCCAAAGGACATTTCCGTCCATGCGCTTCTCGCTGCCTTCCTGACTCTCGGGGACAAAGAGGATCTCCAGAAGTATGAGCTCTGGAGACAAACTTGGCCAACCCGTCAGGACTTCGAAGACAGCATGCCCCTTTTATGGCCACAGTCTCTACGAGGACCCAATCCGTACTATGATGACGCCGCTAGTCAAATGAATCTGCTTCCGCCATCGATATCCGGCGCATGGAACACCTTTCGGAAGCGCAAAAATGAGCACGAGTATGAGACATCTCACCAGAACCTCCTTGCTCAGCAGGAACAGAGATTGCACAAAGCCTGGAGTAGCGTCGTCTCCGTTTTCCCAGAAGTAGAACGGGAGACTTATTCATACAACTGGCTCATTGTCAACACAAGAAGTTTCTACTACTTGATGCCTGGTCAAAAGCCGCCAGAAGATCGGAATGACGCCATGGCATTGTTGCCTTTCGCCGATTATTTCAATCACTCGGATGTGGAGGTATGTCTTGTCATTTCTAACCCGCTTCACATATAGTTCTCATACTTTCGGGTATTTACCTTATCTCCTGTTCTGATCATGGAAACCTTTGTCAATTTTTACAGGATGACGTAAAGTTTGACGGCCAAAAATATGTCTTCAGGGCGACCAGGCACTATGGTACTAATCCGTCTCGGCTCAGCGAACTCTGCTAACAGTGTACAGACTCAGGAGAGGAAATCTATATGAGCTATGGGCCTCATCCAAATGATTTCCTACTTGTTGAATGTGAGATAAATCAACTCCTTTCATCGTGTGCATGTCACATCTGACCTGAATCAGATGGGTTCTACCTCGACCAGAATGCTTCTGAAGCGATATACCTTGATGATATCATTTTTCGAGACCTCAGTGCGTCCCTTCAGGAAGAGCTGTATTTGCAGCAATATTACGGGTACGTTGAACCCCAAGTAATCTGGAATGTCTTAGATTTCATTCTCTAGCTTGGTGCCGTGTTTTGCAGATATCAAATGCTTATGATTGAAAATTTCCAGCAATTATGAGGTTACCGCCACAGGTGCTTGCTATCGAACCGAGATTGCTGCTTGTCTGAAATACATGACAAGAAGAGATTGGCGGAACTATGCCCTTGGTTATTCGACAAAGGGTTGCGACGCCCAGAAATCTAATGTGATCATCCGAGAATGGATTCGCGCATACGCAAAGGAAGCAGACACGACAATCGCCGCTCTGGAAGCTCTTGGTTCCAGAGAAATGGATCAGAAGTGCAACGGGAAAGTAAGCACGCTGCTCAGGCGTTGGACGCAGATCAAAGCTCTCTGCAACAAAGGTTTGGAAGCGGTTTCCTGCTGAGGAAGCGAGGTGCTGCCAGTGGCGGCTCACCTCCAGCGCGAAGAAGAACTAGATTTCTAAATCTAGTGCTAAGAGCTGTTCATAATTTAGAGCCATCCAAAACGTCGATCGGGATAGCTCCGGACGCTCTTTGCTTCACCATTTGTTGTTTGGCAAGCACCAGATGCTTGATCATATAGTTCACCGCGCACTTAATGCCAAGCTCCTCGCCCCTGCGCACAATATAGCCGTTTATATACTCGATTTCTGTGGTTTTTCCAGATCGCACATCAGCCAGCATGGAGCTTGTGTTCTTGGCAGTCTGGTTCGCGAGCTTCGTGACCATCGATCGAAGGCGCTCTGGTGCAAAGCGGTTCTCGATACCAGGAATACCTTGCAATTCAGGCAAGGCGCAAATAACACTCGAGATCTCGATGAGGAGCATTCGCATCACGCGGGTGAAGCTATAGTTGTAGAGAATCTCGCCATTCTCACAGTCCATCAGAGCTGTAAGGGGATTTATGATAGCATTCAATGCCAGTTTTTCCAGTTGATATAGTAGAAGGGACGAAGGAGTTTCGGCGACAGCCACGAGCGGTGGCGTGAGGGTCAAAGTGCGTGTCAAGTACTTCGTGCTCGGTGCCCAATTCATATCCTTTTCATCCCCTAATGGCAAGGTATCACGGGGCAAGACAGGACTGATTATAGTTGTTCCGATACCTGTGTGAGTAACATGGAAGGCATCCCTTTTCCGTGCCAAGCCATGCGAAATGATGCCACACATGTAATGTGGACGTTGATGCGGGTCAGGAAAAACCTTCTCGTTGATCTCCTCGATGGTGCCCATGCCATTCTGGAGAAGAAGTACAGTGGAGTCAGGAGTTAAGCGGTGACTGACTGACTCCAGGGCTCTCGCGGTCATGGGTGCCTTGACCGCAACTATCAAGCATTCGATACGTTCATCATCCTCCACCGTCTGGGAAAGAGACTCTTCCACGCCAGCTTCCAAATTTTCTTCAGTGACGCTATCGCCATTTGTATTGGGCTCACCATTCTGGTTCCAATACGGTAGCGAATACCAAGTCTGGTCACTCAATACGTTGACATCAAAGCCCGTCTTGATATCATCCAGGCCGTTTGTATTGACCGCTAAGCACTTTTTCTTTGCTAACCAAGCCCCATAAAGATTCCTACTATGTAGCAAGAGGGTAATTGGAGGTGGAGATGGCCGACTTGCGAGCGAATGCGCGACAAACGTCCCTACATTCCCAAGTCCCAGGATGTGTATCCGGCCCGAGAGCTTGCGCCTCCCGCTCTCACGGGATGCTTCATCAGCATCATGCATCCATGTCGACAAAGATCGACGAACTGGCGCTTTTCGAAAGCAGAGCCGTGTAAAGTTCTCTACTTCGCAAACGCCAGTCCGCAAAAGCGGACGGCGCCCGAACATGTACAGCGACACTTTGACGAATGGGAGAAGCCCCTGCAAGCGAGTTCGGTTGCTGTCTTTCAGAAGGAAGAGGGGAAAATCAAGGCCGTTTCACCTGTTGCTCATTCTTCTCACGGTGACGATGAGTGGTAACGCATCTCAGTTTTAATAGCTGGAGAGGGATTTCTGAGCTAAAGCGACAGCAAAAGCATGAAGATAACGATGACGGTCAACAAACTGTCGAGAATGAGGCAATCGGTTTGTCACCGCCAGGTTCACCGCCTTTAGATAAAAAATCGCCGTTATCCATAGAAATTACCCAAAAAATGCTAATCTTGCATTTGCAACTGTTTCTCACAAGATGGAGGCCGTCGACCTATTACCGCTGCTTGAGCAATTAGATGATAATATTGACGATCTGGAAGAGGCTCTCAGGCCAATTCTGGAGAGCCCGGTCTCCGAGACATCAACAAAACTCCCGGTTCTAGACAAGGCGAAATTTCACGTCTTGGTTACCTACGCTTTGGAATCCCTCATCTTTTGTACGGTTCACTGGTTCTGTTCCTACCTTTTCAAGCTTGCTAATGGGGCGATAGCTTATCTGCGTCTTCATGGCGTCGATGCGAAGGAACATCCTGTCTTCCGAGAGCTTACTCGCGTCAAGCAGTACTTCGGGAAAATTCAGGCGCTAGAGGCTGAGCCCGAGCAGCGGACCATGACTCTCGACAAAGAGGCAGCTGGTCGCTTCATCAAACATGGCCTTGTATGTCATCTCTTGGTCTTTCTTCTGTGTTTATTCTACGTTGACCCTTGGGCGTGTACTAACTTCGTGTAGGCCGGGAATGATAAACTAGATATGCAGCGCAAAGAACAAGAAGCGAAACAAAAGGCGCGCGCTCAACTAAAAGCAGCATTACTAGCTAAGAAAGCCGCGGCATCTGAGACATCTTCCAAGAATCGTACGAGTGATTCCGACTCGGAGTCGGAACCTGATAACGAGGAGTCGGACAGCGAGGAGGCTATGATTGTAGGGTTAGGGCAGACGACAAAGCCCTCGGAAACAACACAACTCGAAAATTCTCAAGAGGGAAAGAAGAAGAAAGACAAAAGCAAGCATGAGACTTCCAAGACCGCCAGGAAAAGAAAGAAGCGAAGCAAGGAGGAGCGGCAAGAACGAAAGGAAGAAAGACGGCAGAAGAAAATGAAAATCCGAAAGGCAGGAAAGGCAAAGTGAGAAGAGGTGGAACAACGACTACGATCCCAACATGACTGCTCTCATCTTGGTCGGCCGGCCCGACATCAGTGCCCATATTGGATCTCAGCAGTTGCATCATTAGCAAAGCTTATGCTGTCAGTCACCTCAAGTTGCCCTGCTAATCAGTCTCGTCGCCTCGTCGTTGACAGTGCTGGCCTTGAGAGGTGCTTTGTATGTCCATGCCGCGAGCTTGCGTTTCCACTGAGTTCCAACATACCTGCTAAGGACTAGCAATGCTATCCAAAGGGCATAAGCGCTCTAGCTCTTTTACCGAAAAGGTCCAACAGGCAGAATTGCATGAGCTATGCCATGAGTCAGAATTAGATACTACTTATCCGAATAAACCATTCTACACATTTGTAGTATCACACCTTTGCTTACAAGACGTAATTTACCTTACAGCCGATACGGCACGTGATACCCACTTTGGCGTAGTAATCTTACATAAGCCAGGGGCACAGCCAATCAGCGATTGGAAATCTGGCAGCTGCATCGGCGTTTGTTCTCTTTCTCCGCCGACGCATATTCGAGGTTCTTCTTTTTCGTCGCCTCCGTCAACAACATATAAGAACCAACAACTCATCGACCTTCCTACCGCTGAATCGACTTTCATCAAACTACACCTATCCTTTCGCCTTTTCACACACAAACCCACAATCAAGATGCCTCGTCAACGCCGTGGTGCCGCCCCTGCGCCTACCGCTGCCCGCAGCGCTCCCACCAGACCTACCGTCGCTCCCGCAAGACCGGCTGCTGCCCCCACTGCTCAGCAGCACCAGCCTCACTCGACTGCGGCTCACCCTCCTGCTGCAGCCCAGCAAGCCCCTCCTCCTATGGCCCCTGTCCAGCAGAGCTCTGGCCCCGGACTCTTCGGCCAGATGGCTTCGACCGCGGCGTAAGTTGCCCGAACATCCCTGAGATCCTCGGCTATCATTCATTCTGGTGGCAACGTCCCGTCGGGACGTATTGGGAACATCTATCGCCAGTTTCTGCGCAGAGGAATTATTTTCTGGCATGGAAAGACGTTGACTAACCGGCCTCTTTTTTCTAGTGGTGTCGCAGTTGGTTCCTCTATCGGACACGCCATCGGCGGCCTGTTCAGCGGTGGTTCCTCCAGCAGTGCCCCTGCTGAGGCTCAACAGGCTCCTCCCGCTCAGGCTCAGCCTATGGACAACGGACTATGGCAGAGCAGCGCCACCAACAGCTCTTGGGAGACCCCTGCTTGCGAAACCGACGTTCGCAACTTCCGCAAGTGCCTGGATGAGAACCAGGGCAACATGACCATTTGCGGATGGTACCTCGACCAGCTGGTATGTTGAGATGCTCTTGTTGGCTGTGTGTATTGACGGCTGCTAACAACTTGATACAGAAAGCCTGCCAGGCTGCTGCTAAGCAGTACTAAACGACTGCGCTTGTTCTTGCATGCTTTTTCATTTTCTTTGGATGAAATTACATCAACTTTGGGTGTAACTATGGCCTTGGCGCGAGCCTGGCTCGCTCTGGAATGGGTGTCGACGGATTTATTTGGCATAGCGGCGTAATAACTTTACTCTACTGTATACCATTCTCCTGAGGGAGCCACATCTGTTTCATACAACCTTCTTATCTGCGTCTATTCGACTCACAGGTCCCAAGACGCAGAAGGAAGCCAGAAAAAAGTTAAAAACCCAAAAAACCAATGAAGCAATGAAATTCCACTCTTCTAACGGATACCTTTTTTCACTATCAATCCAGCTGGGTAGCATGACAGTGCAATGCACAAAGGGTTCTGGAAGCGAAGGCATGATTATACTGATACAGAACCGTGGGTATAATGGAAAGTGAGAGTCCTGGACGAGGGCAGACATCCATCTGGTGGCTCAACAGATTTCAAAACGATCAGAAGCAAGAGAAAAGTAGACCTATACGTAGTGCGCTTGTTGGATACAGGATGGACAATGTCGAAAGTCGATGACTGACCGTAACGCGATATACAGCGCCCAAATCGTTGCCATTTATTGCCCATCTGTATCTCTCTGAGGCTCGAAATTCAGCTAGAGACAAGTAAGCCGATCTGTCAATCCTAGTCTCGTATTTCAATGCCTGGCGACTTACCTGATTCCCATTGTAAAGTTGACTGTCATTCTGCTCTTCGCGTTGATCTCTCAATGTCCGAATCCTAGGGCCTCTGGAGGCAGCAGGCTGTGGACTCCGCGCTCCATTTCCGGAAGACGAACTAGGGGTTGGAGCCGACCCGGAAGAGTTCGAAGAAGTCGGATTATAGCCGATGAAAGATCCCACTAGGCCCGTCGCAGTTCCAACTGCAGAGGAGAGCAAGCCGTAAGCAGAATATGCAGCTCGGACGGGCAAGCTAGACCCTGAGGAGTTATATGCCTCTATATACGAGTTGATGGGGATCATCACAAGGTTCGCCGTGGATCCTAGTCCAAGATCTTCAAGCATACGTTCTTCGTCGGCGATAGTAAGCGTTCGGTTGGGCAACGGTGTCAAGATATGCTTAAGATTATATGGGCGTTTTTCATCTTGTAGTAGACCGTCAAGCCACGGGCGTACATCCCCGCGGATAGTCTGTGATGGCGCAAAGCTGTTTCGCACTGAGCTTCCGTCAAACAGCCGGACTTGTAGACGATATTGCTTGGGAGGTGATGGTTGGCGCGGTGTCGAAGCTTCGTTTGAAGGACCGACACCTGATCCAGCGTCAGTGGCGGAAGGCGATAATGTATCCTTCCTAGGCTCGACAACACTTTGCTTCTGGATATTAGCGACGTATCGCCGAGCTTGTTGCTCTCTTTTCGACTGTTGGTGTTTCTGCGTAGCCTGAGGAGTACCATGAGAACCAGCTGCCTTTGTAGGTGCCTCTTGGGTTTGTTCAGGGCTTGGATCATGCTCTTGCTGGTGACTCTTCGGTTGTTGTGTCCCGGAAGCTTCTGGTTGACCCTTATCTGATCCTGAGAGCGCAGACGTAGGTGTGGTAGGGTTAGCTGTCGCTGTTGGTGCAGGAGCAGGCGCAGTAGCAGGCGCAGTAGCAGACGAGGACGCTGCAGAGGGACTCGAAGTATTTTGAGGGACATATTGCGTCGTAGATTGACTGTCATCAAGAGCAGCCCTTAGCCGACTGCGAAAGCCGTCCTTGGATATTTCAGGCACGAGGTATTCTCGCAACATGCCATTCCTGCAACCCATTCAGATCAGTGAAATTGTTCGCAACTAACGCACGGGTAGAGGTCACTCGTACTTGATCACAACAACTGCGGGAAACCGAACAATTGGACAGAAAGAAGTTAAGAATCCAGCTTCATCGCTGCCCTTCGTGAGTCGTAGCAAAACGGATCTCGTCTCGAGTAACTGTGCAAATTGCTAGGTAGATGACATTTCGGTAAGGAACCATACAACAGCGATCGCCATCATCGAGGGATTTACCTCGTCATCCTTAAAGTATTCATCCTCCCATACACAACTAGCCTCTTCGTCATCTACATTCATCCCAGTCGATCAGCATGCGACTCCAAGCAATAGTAGCACCATTTGTATTGTAGATGCGATCATAGCGGCCGTGCGGGGATGACAGACAAACCTCGAACGAAGCAGACCACAGCTTTCGCCTCGGTGACAGCAAGGGAGATTCCTGCCTGAAGACCTCCTGGGTAGAACATAACGGCTCTGAATTTCCTGCGAACTGAGTATGGAGTTTATGTATCAGCAAGTTAGCTAAACCACGAAATATGGCCAGCACAGCTCGTCGGGGAAAGCCGTTGATCTCCGCCGATCACGGGTTCCTCTCCAACTGGGTCTTCCGCTGCAGTGTACCTCCCTCTCTACTAAAAGGTTCGTCCCGCATTTTCTCCTCATCATCGGCCTTCAAGTAACAGATCAAGTTCGACTGCAGAGGTTGAATTTCGATCAATCATGCGGTCGATATTCTCCGTTCTCCAGCAGACGGCAGCTACAGCGTGGCGGTCGCAAATTGCACCTGTTCGGAGTTCTCGCGCAGTGTTCGAGCTTGATTCGATTTGCGCCAGGTGCCGCCGACAACAGATTCGTTTCTCGAGCAATCGGCAGCTTGCGGATGATCCCAGATGGCTATCTGTAGTTGACCACCCTGCGCAGATTGTACGCACGGGACGCAAGCATGGGCCTGGCCTGATCATCCTAGGTACGGTGCAACACATACTGCGCGAGATGTTTGGAAGCATACTCTGCGAGGGAAAGTTTTTGGCTAACTATGATTAACCCTGCTACAGCATTGATCCCCATCACAGCATTTATCCTCGGCACCTGGCAGGTTCAGCGGCTCGACTGGAAGACAAAATTGATTGCGAAGTTCGAGGATCGTCTCGTGAAGCCTCCTCTCCCATTGCCCCCACGTATTGATCCAGACGCCATCTCCCAGTTTGATTACCGACGAGTATATGCTACAGGTCATCTTAGACATGATCAGGAGATGTTGATCGGGCCCCGCATGCGCGAAGGCCAGGAAGGCTTCCTTGTGGTCACCCCACTAGAGAGAGGCGAAGGGGAAAGCACAATCCTTGTGAACAGAGGCTGGATTTCGAAGAAGATGATGAACAAGAAAGACAGAGCCATCGGGTTACCACAGGGCGAGGTACTCGTTGAGGGCTTACTGCGAGAGCCGTGGAAGAAGAACATGTTTACGCCAGAGAACAAGCCCGAAGAAGGGAAATTCTACTTTCCCGATGTCCATCAAATGGCTGAACTGACGGGAAGTCAGCCGGTTTGGATTGAACAGACTATGGGTAAGCTAATTCTTAGCATTCCGAGCAGGAGTTTCCGACATGACTGACTCTGAATCTCCCAGTGCCGGATATGGTCGAATCGATGGACAGAGAAGCCAAGGGTATTCCCATCGGCCGCGCAGCTGAGGTCAACCTGAGAAACAACCATAGCCAGTACATTTTCACATGGTAAGTTTCTATGCGCGCGAATTTTCCTCACACTCAGCCTTAGCCTCCTTCGGCCCCCAACTCTTCGCACAGTTGTTAATGTTCCACAGGTACGGTCTGTCGCTGGCAACATCAATCATGTTGTGGATGGTCATTCGCAAAAGGCCAAATGAGGCCACCCGTCGTGTCGTCCAGAACCGGAACTGGTCATAAATTCTGGATTTGTCATCCTCGAGTGCATTGTCTCACGGCGTTCGGCTCTGTCCTTTTTTGAGATCCTGTAGTATATATCCCTGTTCACGGTGGCATCGCCAATCTCATGTCCTGTAGGAGCTCTTTCGGCAAATGCTTCTGCGCGAGAGAGAAAACGGTAGTGGCATTGTTGATGTGCCGTTGTCTAGCAGATCAGCATCCTCCTGGTGCCATAATCATGACAATTTCTCGACTCACCTTCTCAGCAAAGTCGTAACATCAGTTTCATCAATAGTTTTTCGCCCTGCATGCTTAGAATATGCGGCCAGGTCTTCGCTAACTTGCTCAAAATACCACGCCGATGCTTGCTCTATAGCAGCCAAGGTTGCCTTGCTTATCTTGGCCTTGGATCCGGCTCTTGCACGGGCAAACCGAGTAGCTAGCTTTCGAACCACTCCCACTGGCATATTGGGCACAGGAATTCCATGGCGCGAGAGTTTCTTCTGCTTGACACCTGGGAGTACGCTATCTTCGTCTCGCAATCCTCCTCCGACGAGCCCTGGACTCTCGCTCAGGGAAACTCGTGATGGCATATTGAGCTCCAGTCCGAAGTCGCCAGCGGCACCGCCAAAATCGCCATCGCTCATGTCTGATTCTGGGCCTATCTCCGGCTCGAGATCAACCGGAGGAAGCTCGAAACCTTCGTCATCGTTCAAAACTTCGTCCTGCATCAGATCACCCTCACCGGGAGGAGGTGGAGACGGGAAGTGGAATTCGAAGTTGAAACGCCCGAGATCCTCCGTTTCGCCCCTGCATCAGAATTAGCTGGGCCGAGATGAATGACAAGAGCACCCTCAACACTCACCCTCTGTCGAAAGCTCCCTGGCTGATAATTGTATCGTCCGGTCCATCACCTTCAATGCCCGTATCATCGTCCTCGCCGCCTTCAGAGCCGCTCCCCAACCTGGTTGAGTCGCCGAAGTTCTCGCTTAGTCGTGGATTACCGTAGCTCATCATAGATAGTCTTGCTCTGTCATGTTCGCTAGTCGCTCTTCGTGGGTACTCAACGGATGTATATGTAATGTCTTCCTCATCGAAAGCTAAGGAAAGCCTAGGCGGACGCATTTCCGGACTTCCTTCATCGACCTCTTCCACCTCCTCCAGAGGTAGAGAAAGCCTGGGACGTTCCAATTCCGGTTCATTGTCGAGTTCCTCGATCTCATCTTTCTCCTCTTCTGGTTCCGGTGTCGGCTCCAGTTTCTCCTGGGGTGATGAACGTATCGGCTGAGAAGTGGGCGCAAGGGCTAGTTGAAAGTCAGTCCGGAGCTTGTGAGTCTAGATGATCTTCCAATCTTGATCCTGTGCGCGCGTACCCTTTCCAAGATTCCGTAGGATGTCAAATGTTGTCTCTCTCTGAATCCGCCCACTCTTCCTGCGATCGCGTCCGGGCGTATTGGCCGCGCGCCGCTGCATCGTGCGAAGTCCATAGGGCGTTGACGGAGCATTCGTAAGTCTTCTTCCTGGTGTCCATCGAGAAACCGACGGATTGGCAGACGGGGTTGTCGACCCTGCTAGACGGCTCGGTGTGAGGGGATACCTCGTGTGGATTGGGAGTCGAAGCTATCGATCGATTCATTAGACCATACCGTCAAGTATCCTGAGGGCTGTATATACACCAATAATTAACTAACCCTAGTGGCTGTTATGTCTCCCGCCGGAGTATTCACGTTTGAGTCTGAAGCTGCCGCATCGCGCGACGGCCGGCGGCCGTGCGGTCTGGGAGTTGTTGACATCTATAGCTGCCAGGGAACAAGAGGTGCGATCACTGATCATCCAACAATCAGAAGGTTCGCACAATATCAAATGTCAATCAGTGGACAATTGACAACAATCCGAAGTGTATAGAGCAATCGATATCAAGTACACAATAGACGAGGGGTTTCATATGATGATCGGATGGAGCGCGTCTCGGATCATGGAGGTTAGGTCCCCGGGCCAGTTTCTGATTGGCTTAAGCTTATCGATAAGAGCTGCTGACTCAGCATAAAAAAGTTGTAAGGTAACCAGCAGGAAGCATCTCAATGCGACGAGCAAGAGTCAGGATAATCGATCTATCGGGCCATTGAAACCCTTTTCAAGAGTTACAGATATACAAGAGCATTTTTCGCCTTGCAATGTCCGACGTTCCCCCAAAGTCGTCCGGCCTCTCGGCCAAGGTGAACAAGAAGCGCAAGAGACAGGCCGAGGAAGCTCCCAAGGAAGATAAAGCTACACCTGCCAAATCGACCAATAATAATACCTCGGAGGCAGCTGAGGGCCCTCGAAAGAAGAAGAAGAAGAACCTGAAAAACAAGCAGAAGCAACAAAAGCAGAAAGAGCAGGATGATGATCCCAAGCAGCAGGAGCGCAAAGGCGGCATCGACGAGTCTATCGGCAAGATGGACGGCCGGTTGCTGGCTGATCACTTTGCCCAGAAGGCGAAGAGACATAACAAGGAGTTGACCGCGGTTGAATTGAGTGATCTGAGCGTTCCAGGTATGCTTACATTCGTCTTGCTCGGCCTTATGTGCAATCAAACTAATACGTCGGTCTAGACTCGGCATTCCTCGACACATCCTCTTTCGAATCACCCAGATCGCTAGACCAGCTTCCTGCGTTCCTCAAAGCTTTCAGCCCCGACAAGGGGTCCGGACTCTCAAAGGCATCGGAGGAAAAGGGCACGCCGCATACGCTAGTTGTATGTCCGGCCGCGCTTAGAGCAGCTGATGTGGTGAGGTGGGTAGATCAGACGTATATCGCTGTCCTGGGATGGAACTGATTAGATACTCTAGAGCTCTCCGTACATTTCAGAGCAAAGATTCAACAGTCGGCAAGTTGTTCGCAAAGCACATCAAGCTCGAGGAAGCAAAACAGTTCTTGCAGCGCGCACGGTATGCTCACTGCGATCTTGCCATCAATTGGCCATTCGTCTGACCATTATACAGAACAGGTCTTGGAGTCGGAACCCCCGCCCGAATCTCAGACTTGATCGATGCTGGTACGTCTTGTTCCTCCCTGGACTGCCATCTGGATGTCATGTTCGAACCAATACTAATGGAAACAGGGAGCCTCAAATTGGACGAACTAGAGCGCATCGTGATTGACGGATCTTACATTGACCAAAAACAGCGTGGCATCTTTGACATGAAGGAAACGCATCTCCCACTCCTCCAGTTGCTCAATCGCTCCGAGTTCCGCGAATGTTATGGAGCGAAACAGAAGCGGATTCAGATTCTGGTCTTTTAATTGATTTATTCTCTGTAGCATTGGCGTTGATTATTGGGACATCTGCATATTTGAAGTTGCATACTTAGTTTCTTGTCAGAAGATCTGTTCACATGTGTCGATATGATACATAGTAACAAATTGGACCGCAAAGTGCACATACTTACTTAGAACCAACTGTTTGCCTGGGATTTAAGGCATTAACACAGTGGAGCCACAGCTCTCACCGCCCTAGACAACCGCCCGGCAAAAAAAGTAAATTTCCCTTTTCGCTAAGCTTCTGGAGGCAGTTTTCCAGACTCAAGAATTTCCATTTTTGTTTTGGTCGTCGAGTTGAGATTTTGAATTTGATCTTCCGTATCTTCTGCTTAATTGACTGACTTTGGTGTCAATTCTCACAAAGAAAGCCCCTTTTTCGCAGCTACTCCGAGCATATCACACCAAAAATGGGCGACAAGAAACGCAAGCTCGCCGAGGAAGCCATTGCGCCCGAGGGCAAGAAGCTGAAGCAGGAAAAGTCCAAGGGAGAGCGGAAGGAAAAGAAGGAAAAGAAGGAGAAAAAGAGCAAGGCGAAGGATGTTGTTGAGGACGTAAAGATCGAGGACGTCGCGGCGCCTGAGGACAGCAAGCCGGAGAAGGAGGACAAGAAGGACAAGAAGGAAAAGAAGGACAAGAAAGAGAAGAATGAAAAGAAAGAGAAGAAGGAGAAGAAAGAGAAGAAGGAGAAGAAAGACAAAGATGAAGCCGAGGAGATGCCAAGCACCCAGACCGCAGCGGCCGATGCAATGGACGTCGATGGCGATGTGAAACCTACCGAGAAGCAAGAGGCTGAGAGCGACGGGCCCGAGAAGAAGGAGGAAAAAAAGGACAAGAAGAGCAAGAAGGATAAGAAATCCAAGAAGGAGAAAAAGGAGAAGGAGTCCGCCAACGAGTCGCAAGAGCAGCCAGAACAATCTACAGAGACAGCGCCTGGCGAAGATCACTCACAACACCACCAGAAAAACGCACGTTTCATCTGCTTCGTCGGTAAGTCAAAATTTGTTGATATCAAGGGCGTATGGCACAGCCGCAGCATTTGCTAAATTCGTTCGCACTCTCTCCTCGCAGGAAATCTCCCTTACTCCGCAACCGCCGACTCCCTCAGAAAGCACTTTGAGAAGAACCCTCCGTCCTCAGTGCGCGTAGCCACTGAGAAAGACAAACCGACCAAATGCCGCGGATTCGGTTTCATCGAATTTGACAACTATGACCGCATGAAGACCTGCCTGAAACTGTACCACCACTCCACGTTCGATGACGGGAAATATCCCCCTCGGAGAATCAATGTCGAATTGACGTGAGTTGAGCCAGATTTGCGCGTGCAAGGAGCCAATCCTGCACCTTAATACCAGACGTATTGGGAAAATCTCGAAACTAACAATATCGCAGGGCCGGAGGCGGCGGCGGTAAATCTGAGCATCGTAGAGCCAAAATCGAAACCAAGAACAGGAAGCTTAACGAGGAGAGACAACTTCAAGCCAAGGATATCCAAAAGGAGAAGAAGACTCATGCTAGGGGAAACGGCGACGAAGGCGCCGATGAGTGGGCTGGTATTCACCCCAGCCGAAGAGCCCGTATGGCATAAGGCGCTCGACTTGGATAGAGATTCAGTAATGAAGTTGCTCGACGACAAGAAGCCGTTTTTCAGTTTCATTTTCGCATTGTCGTTTTTGCACCTTTGATATGTTCCATCAGAGATATCCTTCATGTCATCGTTATATAAATGTGAATATTGGATGGTTTTGAGTTAGGTGGAAGTATATAGAATCTTCAATGACTGCACGATCCTTATGGGAAATCTTGATAGGCTGCTTACAGCTGTTTTCCAACACGCGCTATATCTATGTAGCAGTTAGGATCATGGAGGTGAAAACCGATTAAGCGACAGGTTCCTGTTATGGCGTAGCATGTTACAAGTTTATGCTGCATGTGCACGAAAAAGGCGACAAGATGAGGAAAGGGGTGTCCTGACCCAGAAAGAAGCTCATCAGGATCATGACATGTGACAGAGGAAACGAGAAAAGAAATATGAACACAATTGGAACAATCATCAAGGGGATCATTGCAAAACCTCAACTATCCCAGACGCCGTATTAGTTGTTTATGATTAAATGATGAGAGGCTGAAAAAGAAGGGTCTACAGAATGGTGCATTTCTTGCTCTTCGGTTTCGCGGCAGGTCGAGGGTTGAGGACAGCACTAGCGGGGTAATCAGCATCGGGAACAACGTCACGACTGTGTGGTCACTGCCAAACATACCGAATGGCTTCATCAAAGACGCTTTTGAGGTTGCGTTGCGTGAGGGCAGAACATTCGAGATACTTGTGCGCTCGGATCTCCTTGGCGACGGCCAGGGCTTGCTCGTACGAGACAGGCTCCATCTTTCTCTGCCGGAGAGATTCTGCTGTCGCGGGATCATCTCTCAGATCAAGCTTGGTACCGACTAGGATGATGGGAACATTGGGGGCATGGTGCTCGATCTCCGGGTACCACTGCATGAACGGTCAGTCGAAGGGGTTGCTGAGCTGTGAGCGCACAGCAGCGGACAGGGGGGTGTTGATCACCTTTGCCTTGACGTTGTCAAACGAGGGAGGGCTGACAATTGAGAAACAGATGAGGAAGACGTCGGTTTGAGGGTAGGACAACGGTCTCAGTCGGTCGTAATCTTCTTGTCCAGCAGTATCCCACAGTCCCAAGCTGATGGGTCTGCCATCTACCATCACACTGGCTGTGTAATTGTCAAATCTGGAAGTCGGGTCAACAACAGGCTCCGAATGAGACCAGCGCAAGGGAGGAAGCCACGGACACGGTAGGGATGTATTCTCCGGGGAATGCGTTGGTTGTGTACGAGATGAGGAGGCATGTCTATCAGGATTTAGGTTAGCTGCTGTCATCCACCAAGTAAAGAAAGCACCAGGCAATGTCTCAAGACCTCCAAGGGGAAAGGGAGAAGGAGAGGGAAAGCACTTACTTTTCCAACTGCACCATCACCAGTCACCACACACTGTACAGGGTCACCTATTAGCCGCGGTCTGGTCAACCGATTAACAATCCATGGGATATCTCGCGAGTTCTAACCTTTAATGACTGAGTAGCGGGTCCGGATGCCATGGTTTCTTTGTTGGGATTAAAGGTCTATGCACAGAGAAGAAAATCACAGTAAGGATAAGATGATGGACAGCTAGCAAAGATGAACTCAAATGATAGCGATCAATAATTAGCGTCGCGAGGTGAATTATGGGGGGTTTTAGCGTCAAGTGAAGGCGGATGGGGCGATAATGTTTAAGGGTATATCTGCAAAAGGAGAAGTTAAACGAGTTAGGACAATGCAATAGTATACGACAAAGAGCACATAGAAAGTTTTTAGAAGAGAGAAAAAAAACAAGCTGAAGACGGCAAAGGACAGAAAGAGGTCAAAAAAGGGTCATTGAACAGCGAAACAGGACGAGATCGAGGGGCGCAGGTCTTTGTGGTTGGGGGGGGGGGTAAGACAGAAGAGG